AGGAACACCAGAATCTGTGGCCTGAACTTTGAACTGGAAGGTTTTTAGCTCCTCGTAGTTAAAAGACTGGAGGCTGACTATGTCTCCAGTCTCTGAGTTGATGTTTACCATTGTAGATATTCTTAATGAATCTTTGTTGCTTGATAAGAATGAATAGCTCACCTTGCTATTTTCACCTGTGTCTTCATCATTTGCAGAAACTGTTTTAAGAACTCCAACTTGTGTGTTCTCTCTTACATAAACATTAATGTTTGGTGATGAGAACTGTGGTGCGTTATCATTAATATCTGAAATGTCAATAGAAATGATGGTGGTGCTTGAGAGAGAGGGGTTACCACCATCAGTTGCTGTTATAGTCACATTATGGCTAGGCATGCTCTCACGATCCAGGGGACCATCAACCACCAGTGAATAATAATTTTTATAGTTGCTTTCTAATTTGAATGGAATATTATCATTTACTGCACACTGAACCTCTCCGTTTTTACCACCATCTTTGTCCAAAACGGAAACAAGTGCTATGGCTGTACCTATTTTTGCATTCTCTTTTACTGTATTTAGTAGTGATGTCACTGTAATCTGAGGGGAATTATCATTTAGGTCCACCACCTCTAGAAGAACCTTACAATGAGCAGACATTGGTGGCTGGCCATTGTCACTGGCTTGTGCACGAATCTCAAAAGCTGGATATTCTTCAAAATCCACATTTCCTTTAACTGTCAGAATACCAGTGTTTGGGTCAAGTTTGAAAATCTCCAATATGTGGTCCTGCTCCTTCGTGCTCAGTGTATATGTGATCTCTTTGTTTGTTCCTTCGTCTGCATCCGTGGCATTTAAAGTTAGCAGAGTTGTGCCAATAGGGACATTTTCAAAAACACGAGTTTTGTACAAAGACTTTGCAAACACTGGCGTGTTATCATTATTGTCTAAAACATTGATTATGATTTCTGACGTTCCAGACTTTGGTGGACTTCCATCGTCTAAGGCTGTTAAAGTAAGCCTAATAAGCGGCTCTTTTTCTCTGTCCAGCGCTTTCTGTAACACTAATTCTGTGGAAATGCTCTCTCCTGATTTACTGATGGCTAATGAAAAATGTTCATTGAGGCTGAGCTTGTATGTGTTTATGGCATTCTTTCCGACGTCTGCATCGTAGGCCTGCAGCAGTGGGAATTTGATCCCCGGCAATGTGCTTTCAGCAATATCTATACTTTGTGATTTTGCATTGAAGTACGGAAAATTATCGTTGACATCAAGAATGTTGATTTCAATGCGGTAAAGCTTTAGCGGTTCACTTATCACCGCCTCTACATTTACTGTACATTTCATGGCTTTCGCGCACAGCTCCTCCCTGTCTATTCTTTCACTGACATAGAGAATTCCAGTTTTGGTATTTACCTCGAAATATTTTCTCTTCGAGCCAGCAACAATCCTGAACATGCGGGGCTCCAAATCCTGAATATTTATCTGCAAATCCTTAGCGATATTTCCAACAAACGTTCCTCTGTTAACCTCTTCTGAGACAGAATAAGTAAGCTGTCCGGCCGCGTCATTCCAGCAATAATCCAATATCAGACACATGAAATACATCCAGGCAGAGCGCTTGATAGTCGGAAAATGCACAATCGTCTCCATCATACCCATGTATCTTCACAATCCTAAACTCCTTTAAAACACTACGAACGAACACGGATCTGCTGTTTCTTTTGACGCGGAGTTAAAACGGCAGCTGTCGCCATCTCACCACTCGACGAACTGTCTTTGTTACAAAGCTGTATGAATTGTTCCTTGGGAGGGGCGCAAACAGGGAAGCAGAAGTTGTGAAATCATGGTCTACATTGTCGCCTTGTGGTCATTTGAAGTCAGTGCTACACAAAAAAAGGGTTTAAAATCTTGATTTCCGTGGTAATTATGGGGTCATTTCAGTAAACCAGTTATCATGTTCCATAGAGATAGCCCTACGTTTGAAATAAACTCTCATAATCTATCTAATCAAATATATTTAAAGTGTCAGTGTATACGCATACATAGGATGAATTAACTGGAAAATACTGTATGCACAATTCCTAAAACAGATGGTTAAAAAAAAACTCAAATAAGTCGACATAACCAAGGTGAGAACATCACAATAAATTCGCTACCATAACGTCTTTTCTTATTTTTTGTTGTGAAAACACAAATACGTACTTTATCATTAGTTGATTATTCAAAAAGAAATATGCCAAGTGTCACAAGTTGCCAGTGAGACACAAAATCCAGAGCAACTACACCAAGCCAGAATTCAGGGTTTTGTGTTTGAAGATACGCAGAAACGATTGGCTTCTGATTAATAAATGTCTAAATTAAATATTTATTCCTAAACGGGGAATAGGTTTATGATGATGATTATTTAGAGAATGTTGTCTGAAACTCCGTAAAGTCGGTATAGATACCTCGTTCAAGAAGAAATGTGCAGAATCGTAGATTGACTCACCTTTTCTGTGTTGGGTAAAGTCTGTGTTCTGGTAAAAGTGTCTCC